GGCCCGGCCCCAGCCACACCGCCCCCCCACCGGCCGCAGGGCCGGGGCGAACGAGCGGGAGGAGCGGCCGCCGAGCCGGGAGCGGGCAGCGAGGAGAGTTAGACCCTCTTACCGGGTACGGGCTCGCCACAGCGACCCCGCGCCGGCTGAGGGCGGCTCCCGCACGTCTGCGGCCGGGCCGGGGCCTACCGCAGTGACCGCCGCAGCTTGAGCCCGGGGGAGCAGGGCGGCGCCTCAGCGGCCGAGCCCGGCGAACGGCCCCGCCTCAGAGATCAGCCGGCGCCCGGCGGCAGCCCCCGGGGCGGGGCTGGGCGGAGCGCCGGGCCGGGCCGGGCCGGGCCGGGTCGGGCCGCTATAACAGCCGCCGCAGTCACCCCCCGCCCGCCTTTGTCTGTGCTGTTCCCGCCTCGCCTCACGCCATTCTCTCCACCGGGGCCGCCTTCCTTCCCTTTCTAGGGGCGGGAGAAGGAGCCCCGACTCCCCGGGACAGCCGGGCTCTCACCGTCGGTAAGGAGCCCTCTCCTTCTCTCGGCAGGCGTTGCCGCTTCCCGGAGAGCGGGCGCTGGGCGCGGCGGAGAGGGGCCGACGATGGACCGTGACGGGCCGGACGCCATCCGCCGTGAGGCGGAGCTGGAGCACAGCCGTTACCTGGAGCGGCGGGCCGTGGCGCAGGAGCAGCTGGCGCAGTGAGTGCGGTGGGGCCCTCGGGAGTGGGGTGCGGGGTCAAACAAAATCCTCCCGTGGGCAGCTCCGGGCGGGCGGGACCCGGGGCTGGCCCCGCTCCCGCCCCGCTGCTGCCGCCACCCGCGGGGGCCGCGCCTGGGGCCGCGCCTGGGGCCGCCTGACTCACCCCTTCTGACCGGCCGGCTCCGGTCCTCGCTCCCCGGCTGGGCCGAGAACCCGTCCCCTTTCCTCGCACTCTGCTTCCTCCGTGACTGTGCTCCGGCTTCAGAGACATCTATTGTTGCTAGTGGCCATGTCTACCCTAATCAATTAAACAAGGCGGGCTGTGTTCTGGTGCCAAGAGCGAGCGGCTTGTCTCCCTGAGGCAAAACTCTCTATTACTGCCGCTTCTCCCAGCCCAGAACCATCGGTGCCTCCAGCTAGCACAGGCTGACAACGTGGCCACAGCTTGGGCACTGCTGTGGCGGCTACCCAGCTTCTACAATTAAACAGGCTAATCAAATCCAATCTAATATTCAAACCCGTGTTTGCTATTGCTAGGATAGGCTAACCACCACCCTTGCACTGGGACTGAGCGTTGTACAAAGCATTCGCAGCTGCCTTTTAAAAACTGATTCTATTTTAGATCTCTGACATTCAGCTTTCACTTCAAAGTATTTTTTTTAACTGTTAAAGTACCTGTAAATGTGTAGAATCCATACCTGTTCATTATTTCATGCAGTCCTTAGCTTATTTATCCAACACCTTTTTTTTTCCGATTCAGAATAAAGGAGCACAAGCATCAGGCAGATCTGGCCAAGCTAGAAAATAGAAGACAAGGGGAACAAATACAGAGATCGTACCAGTTGTACCAACAGGAAATTCAGAGAGGAAAAGAAAAGGAACAGGAGGAAAAAGTTGAACGCCAGAGGCTCCATCATGTAAGTAAGAGGGAAGCAGACAGTTCAGAAATGCTTGTTTCACCATGGCTGCCTGGTGTGGCTACAGTAGGCCCATGAATAAATGGACCTGCTGGCAGCTTCAGATCATATGCCAGATGCAGGCCATGTCTTTCCTCTGTGCTTTTGAGAAAGGCCTCTTGGAAGTGGCAATGTGGTGCCTGAGCTTTAACTGGTCTATGATGGAAAAAGTCTGCTGTAGGCAGCAAGGAGATTGGCATTGACGTTGAGAACTGGATTTAGGTTCCATGTACCTGCTCTGTTTTAAGCCCGTTTTCCTTTGCTAGGAAGAGGGAATAGCCTGAGTCTGAACATGACAATATCTTTTTAATTTGACTTTCCCTTTATGATTGGAGGTGTTTAGAAAATTAGTCAAGGCCTCCTTAGCACACCTACTGTTTCCCTGCTTGAGCAGGGAGACTGAAGTGGCAGTACTGCCATGCTTGGTTGGCATGTGAGACAGTAAGAGGAGAGGTTTCCCACTGAAACCCTAAATTGCTTTCCTTCCACCCCCCATACTCCTTCTCACCTCAGTTACACAAATTTTACTCCATTTGCCCCCGACTTTGTATATACAAGAAAAGCTATATATAGTCATAATTGTCACTTCTGTGTGATTACATTTTGGGTGCTTTGTGCCTTTTTTTTTGTGGTTCTACAGACTTTTACTGTTTGAGCCCTTCAGAGTCTGTGCTGTGTGACTGGTACACAGGGTGGGAGCAATACAGTTGGAGCAAGTGGGGAAGCAGAGGAAAGAATATAACTTAAAGATACTGTGCTTAGGGCTGCAACCATACACTAATTTTGCTTTTGTGGTAGTTTGTGGTAAGCAGATAATGAGAATTTTCTTCCATCTCTGTGTTTCTGTCTTCTGTAGCTTCTCCACTGACACAACCAAAGAACTCTTTATTATAAGCTCGGCCTGAAGTCTCTGCTAGATTTTCTTTTTTTCAGTTCATGTTTCCAAAAATCTCATTCTACATAAATATAAAAGCACTTTTCTGTTTAAACAGGAACATGTAGCTGAACAGAAAATAATTAAAGCTGAAGAGAAGCAAAAAGAAGATGAAGATGATGATCGGATTAAGGCTTATATTAAAGGAAAAGATATGATGGCTGATCTGTCAAGAGAGAAAGCTGAAGAGACTAATAGGTGGGTCTATGGCTACAGTTTTTAGTGTTAAGACTCAAACTTGCAGTTTAATCTTGTGACAAATATTACTCTGAATTTCTATATCAGCAAAATCAGAACTCTGATGCAAGCAATTTTTCTGTAATTAAAACTTGAAATAGAATGGTCCAGAAGAAATGCCTGCCAGTTCCAATAGTAATTGGTGCTGCTGTGGGTGGGACTGCTGGCTTTGTTAGGAGCAGTGCCTCAGGTAACCCGAGCAGATACCCTGATATGTTATGGCAGCTCATGTTCTCTTGCAGGATAGTGCAAGAGCATAAGGATAGAGCTTGTGAAAAACTAGCTGCACAGATGAATGAGGCGTGTAAGATGGAGGATGATCGTCTTGCTAGAGGAGCTGCAGAGGTAGAAGATGAATACCAAATCAAAAACAAAGAGAAAGAAGCAAAAAAAAAGGCTGCCATTGAATCTATTGCTGATTACAGAGCCAGTGCGGTAAGAAATTCCTCTGATTCCTTTCTGTCATCTACTTGTACTTCTGAATACCTTTCAGAAATACCCCAGATTCTAGCACAGCCTTCTTGAGGGAGAAGGCCTCATATTTATCACTTATAGCTTAAGAACTTAAGAAAGGTGCAAGTGGTGCATGTGATGATAGTATTGCAAAAAAACCTCACAGTTGGAAGGCTCTATAATTGTTGGTAATTTCTGGAAACACTTTCCAGACTCTGCACTTATTCCAGCTGAGGAGCCTGGCCCAGGTCACAGCTGGTGGGTCTGGTGCCAGGCATCAGCACGCTTCGTCATGTCTGCTGCCATCTTCCCTGGGATCCTCTCTCCCTCTCCTGCTTCCATTTTGGCTGCTGAAAATCATGGCCAACCACAATGACCGTGCTTATCAGAACTCTGATACAGGGCTGCTTCTGCTGAAAGATACGGCTTCCAGCCTATCAACTATGCTCCTTGGTTAACTTTTTTGTGTATTTTGTAAAATATAGATGAAGATGAAAGTGGAAAAGGAGAGAGAGGAAAAAGCAGAGGATGAGAAGGATCGTAATCAGTGGATGACAGCAGATCGTGCTTACTTGGAAGTGGAAAAAGCCAAGAAACAAAAACAACATGATGCCAACATGGAAGTACAGAAAATTCAGATCCAGCAAATGGTAAATAGAAGAGCTGTACCCTCAGCCCCTCCAGAAAGAAGCACCCATCTGAACCCATAGTACTAGATCTCTTGTATGGGAGAGAAAGAGGAAGCTTGATGTGTGCATTTTGTTTTTTTTTTTTTTTTTTTTCACCTGCATGCCCTACAGCTGCTGATGTTGGGGAGCAGCCTCCTCTCAGAGTAGTGGAACAGCAGCCTCTTCCAGGCTGACTTGGCCCATGCTGGTTGGGGAAAATTACCTGGGAGGGGTGGTAATACAGAAAAGATCAACAATGAGGGATCACATCCTGTCCTGGGTCATGATGCCACTTTTTTCAGCTGTGCCACTACTGCTCTCTTGTATCTTCTGAGCAGGTCACCAAAGCAGCTGATCCTGATGTTCACTCAGCTATTCAGTGTACACTTTTTGTGGGGGGTATAGCAGGGGAGAAAAGTGGGAAGGGATGATGTTTGACAAATATTGATTAAGTCCCCTTTCTTCATCAGGCTGAAAAGCAGGCAAAAAAACAGCAGGAAAAGCAAGCAGATTTGGACTATGATACTCAGAGAGAAGCTGCTTTTCATAAGGATCGAGCATTTCAGCGATAAAGATGGTGAGTAACTGAACCAGTGCCGTTACTGGATATAATTTTTATTCCCCTCTCCAAGCATCTAATGAAGGAACAAGATATGGGCTATCTAACCCAGACAGCTGCAAGAGTAGCAGAGTGTATACATATGCAGTTTTTTTAAAAAAAAATAATAAATCACAGGAAGATGGGGAAGGATGGTTGATGTAACAACATTCATGTTCCTCCTGCCAAATGTACACGAGCCCCCAGCTTGCTCAGGGGCTGAACAAACACTTGGCACTGTGTAGGAGTGTTACAGCTTGTGTGCCCCTCAAAGCCCTGCCTGAGGACAGAGCCAAGAACTCTCCTCAGAGCCAGCACAGACCCAGGTATTGTCTTTGTTGGTAAGTCCTGCTGTGGTCTGGGCTGCTGCGCTGTTTTGGACAGCAGGACGTGGCTGGGTGGAACTGACTGACCGTTATCGTGGCCCATAAGGGGCTTGATTGTGGGGTGAGGAAATTGCTGAGGAGAACTTAACCCCTGCGATGCACATGATTCAGAGGTGTTGCCCAGAATAGCTCTAACCTGGTGTCGGGGCTGAATGCCCATCACTGGTTGGAGCAGAACTTCCTTTTTGTCCAAAAGGGTCCAGTTTGTGACCTCTGTGTAGTGTGAACTAAAGCACAGTCAGTAGGAACAATCAAGAGAGTTGTTGCAAAAGACCTAAACTAAAATGCTAGTGTTGCTGTACTATCAACTACAAGTCACACAGAGCTCTCTCCAATTATCTTGGAGTAATTGATTTTGGAAATCATATATTTTAGAAAAAAGAGACATGGCAATTTACTTGTGAAATTGTCTCTAAATATGGTTTTTATTAGTTCACTAATGAAAAATTTATTTCCCTTCTCTCTGAGCCAGTGCTCCTTTTACTACTTCGAGCTTTTTTCAGCAAGCAGAAAGAATGGAAACTTTTAATAAAGCCTTCTGATCACAAAAGCTGAAGCCTTGAGAAGAAGCATTGACTGCAGCAGAAGTGGTGCTGATATCTGCAGAGCTTGATAATGCTCCAAATGCATCCCTAAGTGCATATTTACACATGCTCACTACTGTGTGATTGGTGAGTTAAATGGGGTTTAGTCTACCTCCACAGCAGCAAGGTGGATTGCAGCCTCCTTTCCTACCACGCTTCAAGAAATGCTGTTCTGCAGATGATGTATGTCTGCATTTGAAGTCTACAGCCTGTTTCCATGGGGAGGCTTGTACCCTTTATACTTTGAACATCTACAGAAATACCGAACTCAAGTACCAGAAAACAACTCTTCCTTCCAGTACACCTAGAGTGAAGTAGGAATCCTGTCTAATTTTAAAGCACATTGGCTAAAGAGGGATTTAGTTACTCAAATTCAGCATGAAAAAAAAATCCAGCATGAATCATGATGTCACTTTATTCCATTGACTTTGAGATGCACAAGCTTTGTGTGCTTGCTTCAGATGATTAACCTTAATTAGTATTCATCTATGAAACTAGGCAAAAAAAAATATCCTCAAGTGTTTTAAGAACATGAAGAAATCCTTGAGGTTCTAAAATTTTCAGTGACAAAGCATTTTGGTAACACTTCATTGTCTTTTACAGTTGTCTTACTTGAAAGGCAGGAATGGAAAGCTGCTTGCAGGAATAATAAGACTAAAATCAGGTTGTTTACAACATGTTGAAGAAAACAAGTGTGCAAGTAGAAACAGATGAAAAATTTAACGTGAAAGCTGGGCTCATTCAGTCTGGAAATGAGGACGCTCAAGAGTGATCTAATTAACAGCTTAGAGCTGCTTGAAGGGTAGTTTCAAACACAGTGGAGCCAAACTCTTCTCAGCAGAGTCAGGTGCTTGATATAATAAGATGCAACACGGGACATCAGGCTGAGTAGTCAGGAAAACCTGCTTCAGCAGGAGTATAGTGTGATGGCACTGGATCAGAATGGCCAGGGGTGGTGGAATGACCACTGTGAAGGCTTTAAAGATGTTCCATGTAAAGCAGGAGGATGGTGTAGCTGACCACCGGAGGTCCTTTTCAGCTACTGTTTAAAGATGGCAACAAAATACAGGGAGATCAACTGCTGCTCATACGAAAGGAAATTGGTGACCTGGAAGAGTCTGCTAATTGAGAGGGACCTCTAAGCTAAGGCCTAGCATCACTACTTGTATTAGTTATTAGCTGAAGTTTTAATAGCTAGCAAATCAGAATATGCTTTGAGAAATAATTTAACTAAAACTTTAATTATAATTTTTGCTCAACAAAGCATCCTCTCAGCTGGTATGCTGCTTCAGGAGGTTGTAGCAGACAAGAAACATAACAGGTATGGGCTTTATTAGAAGGCCAAGACTTTAGGAATGTGCGGCAACCCTCAGACTGAAACAAAGACTTTAAATCAAACTGTGTTTTTTCCAAATCTGTCATGCAACACTGGAAGTAGAGCAGCAACTGAAGTTTGAAGAGGACACCTACCTGGAAACGAACTACCTGTGAAGAGAAGAGTTGGCACCTGGCATTGTTAAGGATGGACACTGTCATGTCACAGTACAGACTGGCTCTATGCTCCTGAAAAAGAAAAAAAAAAATTTTTTTCCAAAGCTCACTGGTTGGGTTAAGTCAAATAATTTGTTGCTTCAATAGCTAAATTCTTTCAGATGCCTGTTACTAAGATACACCTTTCTGGTATCTCTTGAATGGGGGAGTGCTGTAACTAGTCTGTAATCTTTCTTATTCTGGCAGTGCATCTTTGAGAGAAGGAAAACTCACTGTTTATAAATAACTCAAAAAAAAAAATCCCTTATGATGTCTGAAGGCTAAGATTTAAGAGAGAGTTGAGGTGCAAGCCAGAGGTTTGACAAGACCATATGAGATGTCTTCTTTGGAATAACCTTTAATTAATTAATTTGTATTTAAAATTAGTGAAGTTGTGCTATAGACTTTGTTAAATTTATAATGTGTATAGCCATTCCCTTTACACTCCTGCACTGCCACCACTACAATCTGTTTCTTTTTGGTTTGGTGTATCATGGCCTTTGGCATTAAGAGCTAAATGCTTAAGTGGACACATAAGTGATTCAAAACCTGCCCTCTAATCTGTTAAACCAGTCTCTAGAAAGCAGTCTTAAAAGCGTAGTTGTTCATAGCTGGTTGATACTGTCTTGCATAAACCAGCATGGCACTTCCTTTTTCTGTGGGTTTTCTCATCTCCAATACATTACCCAGAGAGATGCACCATTCTGTTAGGTGCTGAAGGGATTGAACACCAGAACTGCAGGTCAGATAAAATTCAACATTACATCTCTGTTAACATAATAGTAATTGCCCCTGGCCCCCTCAAATGAATAACACCTGGTCTGACTCTACTACTTAAAGGAAAAACAGGCAAAAGTTAGAAAGCAGCAACACGTACTGGAGGAAGCAAGCAATAGCTACTGAGCAGACCAGAGACAGGATCAAAGGCATGAGACTGCCAAGATCTGGGAAATACCAATCCAGGACCTGGTACAGTGGCGTAGTGGACAAGAGAGAAATGGGACTATCTTTGGTAAAGCTTAGTATTGCCTTATTGCTACCTGCAGAGTGTTCCTGCATTAGTTTCAGTTCCAGCTTCTCAATGCATATACCATTAACTGTACAGTAGTTAGTAATTACACAGTAGGACTTGAACTCTGTTTGTTTCTTCTTCAGAAATGCATCTGATGACTACAGAAGTATCTGCTAAGGACCAAGCCACTAGCCACTGCCGCCTGACAAGTTCTACGTGCCTGCAAAACTTACCGGTGCCCAACAGCTGAAGTGAACTCGGGAGCAAGTTAGAAGGCATGCTCTCTGCCAGAACCTGCCTGTACTCAACTTCAGCTCAAGAAAAAAGTAACATAGCTACAGCCACAACTGGCAACTGTACCTGTAACTACCCTAGTTTATTATGGAGCAAAGCAGTAGATTAACTTTCTAGGAAGTCAAGAGGTAACAACCAAAGGTAAACTATCAATTCATCTCTGGTGTACTCAAGTATTGCTAGGCCTCCAGGCTTAAATAAAACCTTATGTTTTGGCTTAAAAAAAACCTTCCTGAGCAAATAATAAAATTGAATAAGCAGTTTAAAAGCATCTGTCTGTAACAAGATGAATGTTGAGTGTACATTTTATTTATGACCATTTTGTATTTACGCTTACTTTGGAGAATGCAGTAGAAGATACAAGTGTTATCTTTAGAAAGTTGTGTCACTGGCCGAGTCTTTAGTCCTTCCTGGGAAAGAGATGTCTGCAGCAAGACTGTGTGTATCTCACACTCAGGTTTCTAAACTGATTATAGGAAAGGGGAAAAGCACTTTCCTGCTTTCTCCTAAGCACTCTGCTGCCAGCACAGCCAGGGTGCCAGGCTGGGATACTGCTGTGGGTGACTTTTTGATAGATACTTGTTCTTTCCCTCAATTCTAAGCCACCTGTAAGCTGTCCTACCATTTCATTTAAATTTACATCATCATACAGGTAGTTCTTCTGTAACTAGTGAAAATTATTCTGCTTCACACACACAAAGAGACTGTTGTATTTGCTTTAGTACAAGATCAAAGTTTGCAGCTAGCAAAAAAATTACTCATGAAATACTAGATCAGCTGCACTACATGGCTGCATTTTTATACATTAAAATATATAGACTGTGAATAGACTTACTTGTCATTATGTAGTAGAAAGCTCAGATTCTGTCTGTAACTCAATGCTATCATCCAATTTAGCATGGAATAAAAATCTGACTATTCCTATCTTCAGTAAAAATGTATGGCACTCTTTAACTGAAGAGGTAGTGTCTGGACTGTTCTTCAAGTATTGGAGAGAGAGAGAGAACATACAGATGATTTAAAAATAGGTCTTTGATTAAGCATAATATCTATATCTCAAGGTTTTCTATTACACAGTCCTAAAAGCAAGGATACACATTTTTGTCAATCAAACAAGCAATAAGTCTACTGTGCCCCTAGAAAGTGTGTCCAAAAATACTTTATTTGCTTCAATAAATCAACAATAAATCAACAGTTCCAGGAAGGGCGGCTAAAGGGTTGCTGCTTTTATGTTTACATTCATCTAGAATCCACTTGCCAGACTGACACTATTACAAATTAGACATGGTTAGGGAATTACTGCAAGTTCTTCAGGGCATCTAACAAAAGACCACGCAAGAAAATTTCGTAGTGTGGGATTTTCAGTAACAAGTAAGAAGTTTCAGGTTAAAATTTTAACAACCGCATAGAACAAAGGCTTAAAATGTAACCATAGCCTTTTTTCTTTGTTTTCTTTAAAAAAAACCCCAAACCAAAACCAAACCAAAATCAAAACAAGTGAAATACTATGGTTTCATCAAAGAATTAGCAGACAGCAACACATCTTTTACAGGCAACAGTGTTTGTACAGCCTTACATTATATCCACCCACCCTCAGCAAGAACTTGTGCTTCCAAATTGATGGCAGTACCCAGAAAATCCAACATTGAAGAATGGTGAAGTTCTGATAAAGTTTGGGAAAGCTACTGCCAATGTGAAATCCAGCATTCCATGTATATGTAGGCTATATGGTGTTAGTAAAATGTCAGTATTTATTGTCAATACAACAGTGAATGCTTGTCTAACTTTGGGAAACTATTTCAAGCCTGTACATATACCTAAACATATTCTTACAAAGTTAGTCCAGTACTCTCTGCCCTCATTTTACCTTGAGTCTTCAGGTTCAAAAATTCTCTGGAGTAAGGCCAGTTCTGGGGTACTGACAGAAAAAGCTGTCCTGTAAATGTACTACTTTTTTCCCCATTCACAAGGGAAGACCACAAGCATTGTTTTGATTACCTCTGGTACACACAAGTATTGCTTTCAAGTATGCTTCCAGGTCAGTTCTCCAAGCCAAAAGCCAACAACCTGTCACAGAGCTGCCAAAGATGGCATTGGGCTACAGTGTGACTACCACACAGGGCCACTACTGTGAAGCTGGAACAGGGAAGCTGTGCCTTTGAGGGAAGAAACGGTTCCAGGACAGCAGGAGCAGCAGTCAGTGCCTCACAAGGCAGCAAGAGCTCACTGGGCTTGGGGACACCTTCCTGTCCATGGAACCGTGCTTCAGTCCCATGGAATTTTTATCAGCATTCTCAGTTTCCAGTTTGATAAAGAAAAGGACCAATCTGGCAAATCCTCCCTCTCACAAGACCACAGTTGTTGTGTTTCAGTTTAAACAAAGCGATTGGCACAAACAATTCACCATCAAATACCATACAGGTGGGGCACGGACTCACCAAGAGATCAAGCGTATCCCACGTGTGTAATTAAAAGTAACCAACTTCTTACAAAGAACATTTAAAACAGGAAAATGAGCTTTGTGTCACCAACTCAGATGAATTTTAACATTATGAAAGACTCAAGAGCTCGCTTTAATTTGTACAAATAATTTTCTAAACCGTAACAAAGAAAAAAAATCCATATGAAAGGGTACACAAGTGCATCTTTTGAAATAACGTTACACACAACTGCAATTGGATATAATCTCCATTTTGAGATTTTAAATTAAAGACTTTGTAACATTTTTTTTAACAATTCCTATGGATTGCCTTATTACTGACTGACTGCATTTCCCCCCCCCTCTTCTAAAGCAGAGTTGATGTAGCTGAGGTTTGGTTTTGCTTGTTTGTGTGCCTATATGAGCTTCAGTGGTACCAGCAAGAATACGCTCAGTATCGCAAACATACTTCTTCAGCAAGTTTGCTTGTGTCAGGTCCATAAAAAATAGTAAAAGCACACTGCAAACAGTTTTTAAATGAGACTGAAGCACATGCCATGCACAGCACAGTATAAATGCACTGAAGAAGCCTTTGTCCAGGCAGTCATACAATTCTCTTAAGCTGAACTTCCTACCTTTTTCCTCCTATGGTCCCACAAAATAGGACTATAAATGCTCCAAAGTCGTAATACAGAGTGGCCTCACTCAGAACTCTGAAGGTCACTCCTACAAGCTCTCTTAAAGTTTAACAGCTGTATCATCCACCCACATGTGGGCTTGGGAAACATTTCTTACACGTTCCACGTAGAATGCAAAATTCATATTAAAACATAGCAAAAATAAAGTCGATAGCCAAAGCAGCTCCACTAACTATTCTGTTAAAAAATAACACAACACTTACAGTTTTCTTCCCTTAAAAAGGTTACTTATGTTGTTCACAATCCTGTATTTTCTTTTGCTTTCAAGATATAACCGTTTGTTTTCCTTTAGAATAACAACTCTCTGGATCACAAAATCAAGCCAAGCTTCAGCAGTTCTGCTCGTCTGCCGTAGACACACACTGATCACTGGGTTATAGAGCAAAAATATTGACAAACTCTTAACAAAGACAGTAAGAACAAGTTACATCTCACACACTCAAAAGATCTGCCAAAAAAATCAACTATTAAAACATTGTTTCACTTTGACACAAGTTTACATTAATGCTTGTCACTTCTCTCCAGGAATTTCAAGATTTGCCAGCCTTTGGTGTTAATAGTTTGGAGGACTGAAAGAAGCACTGGGGTTTGTACCAAATCTATCCTCCTCTCAGCCCACTGCTCCCTTACCAGGTAAGGGCTGCCCTTTGGTGATGGCCCATCTGCAAGCCCTCCTGCAGTGACACAAGCCAACCTCCTTCTCTTGCAGATGAAGGTGTGGCAGTGAGAAAGGTCTTAGAGAGGAGAGGAAAACAGAAAAGGGAAGGAATTGGTTTGAGGAAGACACACGCATAATAGATAATGAGGAGGAATTCATAGTAGTCTTTAAAACAAGGGGATGCAAGGAGGAAAGCAAATTTTTGTTTTAAAGAAGCCCTAAGACTCTGTCTTAAAACATAACTTGAAATTCTGCTTCAACTACCCCAAAAACCAGTACAGGAGAACTGAAATAGTTTTCTCATGGACTGCTAAGAAGCAGCAAGAGTAGAAAGGATTTCCTGGTTCTTTATTCTGACACCCACTGTGAATTCTGGGAATCTGTTTCATCTCTCTGCATCCATTAATTAGCAACTGAGGCAGGGTAGGCTGAAGCATCCAAGCTGGATTTTCTGCAGTAGACAAACATGAAAACATGGAACAGAAAAAGGAGGTTACAAAGGAAAAAATTACACCGATCAGCACTTCAAAAAAAATTTTTTAGGACGAAGAATTAACTCCCAAACACAGATGACTGCCCTACAGCATGAATGAATTCTACTGTTGGTAGTGACAGAAGTACAAACAGTGAAGATTTACTTAAATTAATTCACTTTGTGATTACAAAAAAAAAAAAAAGCCCCATAATTTTCCTCTACAAATTAATTTCCTTAGGATTTATACCTACTGAAATAATGACGTAGCAACACTGGAGTGATGGACACCTTGCAACATTTTCCTAGCTGTAAGATGACATGTTGTACCTTGCAGCTTTTTTCTTCACACATGAAACAAGCGTCTTCACAGGCAGCCATTACTTGCACTAAACTAAGTTCATCAGGTAAAAAATAAACGCGGCACAGAAGTTACCTTCCTAGCTGCCAACACACAAGGATACATAAACCAATGAAATACTTAAAACACAGCACACTGTATTACACATGTAATTCGGTTTTCATTTCAAGTTTATTAAAACTTTAGCAGTACAAATGATCCAGGTTTTAGATTATCAAAAGACCAAACTGAAGTCCACATCTTAAAAAAAGGCGTTCCCCAAAATGTCTCTAAAACTTTGAGACAATGGAAACATTAAGTCCACAAACTCATCCATGCCTGTCGTCATCTGTTCCAGGACTTGTTTCATGATCAGACTTTTTATCTTTACTAGGGGCATGATCTCTTTCCTGACTCTTTGATTTTTGGTTTATTTCTTTTTCTGCTGAGGATCTGGTCTTTTCCTTTTCTTTACTGCTGCGTGAATATGATTTTTTCGATTCTCTCTCTTTGCTACTTGTTCTCTTTTTTGAGTCTGGACTTTTATCCTGATCTCTACTAGACTTCTTCTCTTTATTGGATTCAGGACTGCTACTTTCACGGCTTTTTGAACGCCTCTTCCTTTGGCTTTCAGTATCATTCCTCTTATATGAGCTTCTACTTTCTCTATTTGAATACCTCTCTCTGTTTCTGCTTTGACTCTCCTCCCTCTCTGAGCTCCTTGATTCTCTCCTCCTCCTATTTTCTCTTCCTCTGTATTTATCTGGTGTACCTCTCCTTTCTCTGCTTCTTGATCTTCCTCTTCTTCTTGTTTCTCTATCTCTATTCCTCGAATAGTCTTTACTTCTACTGCGATCTCTGTCTCTGCTTCTCGATCTTCCTCTCCTGCCCCTATCTCGGCTTTTGCTTCGATCCCTTGTCCTGCTGCTGGAACTATGTTTGCCTCTAGCGTGGTCACGCTCTTTGCTTCTTGATTTACGTTTCTCCCTGTCCTTACTCTTCCTATGGTCTTGTTCATTGCTTCTCGAGCCTGCCCTTTTACTTCTCTCCTTGCTCCTGCTTCTTTCTTTATCTCTCCCTCTAGAATCATAGCGCTTTTCTTTTTCTCTGCCCTTCTCATGGTCTCTCTCTTTGCTTCTTGATCTGACTCTTTTTTCATCATGCCTACTGTGCTTAGAGTCTCTTTCTTTACTTTTTGATTTCTCTCGGCTTTTACTATGGCTTCGAGATTTAGCTCTTCTCTTGGCCTTGCTTTTGTTATGCTTGTCATCTTTTTCTGAATTCCTTCTTGTCTCCCTGTCTTTACTGCTGGATTTGTGATCTTTTTTCTTCTCCTTTTCCCCTCTTCTGCTTGGGCTTTCAGAAACTTGTCTGTGGTCTGATATTTTTCTCTCTTTTCCTCTTCCTGGGCTTTTTTGATTATCTTTCTTGTTTTCATTTACTTCACTCCTTGGAGAGAGAAAGATACAATTTTAATATTTTGAATCCCCTCCACTCTGAAAAAATAAGTCAGAAGTGAGACAGCTTCATAAATGAAACTTAAATCACAGTAGGTCACCTAGATTAGTAACTATATATTTACAGTGGCATGATTAAAATCAGACACAGTTAAGTAATGGGATAACCAAGTCAGCACCCTGGTTTTTTTGGAAGTAACTATAATTGAGTATCTAAGACAACAGGTATTACTTTTAATATATAAGAAAAATTTCAATGCATATACTCCGGAAAGAAGTAATCTTACTTGTCCCCTTTTATCCATCTTTCTCCACTAGACACTCGCATTCTTTGAGCTCTTTGCATTTCTTGCCTCCAATGTGGAGGAGTTTCACTGCGTCGAAATCGATCTCTTGACCTGGATCTGGAAGGGGTCCGGTAACGCTTGAAGGGAAAAAAGAAAAAACTAGGTTTAGGGTTGAATTTCCCTTGCTGTGACAGCCAAGCGAAATTTTTATCCCTGGTGGTTGATTCTACATAGCACTCAACATGATACTTCACATGTATATACCAAGTTTACATTGACAAGTTAACTTACTGACAAAAAAAAATAAACTCTGACATTCAGCTAAAGCGGGATCTGATCAAAATAAAGCAGGTGTGATCAAGTAACTATTTTTAAGGTAACTTTGATTTCAGGATTTTTTTTGTACTCTGCTGAGAGGTCTTCTCCTGTTACTTTTAATTAGCACAAATGCAACTTACTTTTCTAACAACGAAAATTCTTCTTAGCGTTGACAAGCAACAAGAAAACAATACTTCACACTTTTCTTTAAGGTTTTTTACTAAAAGTTTGAGGGAGAGAGACTTCTGTTACTAAAAACATCTGCGACAAGCAGCACATAGCGTACGGCTTCACAAAATCAGAAGAACCAATCTGAGAGCTTCCCCTGCCAAGAAAGGGAGAAGTCCTGGTTTTGGTGTTCACTAGAACCCTTTTTGAGCTAACTTCATTCACTAACTCACAGTAACACAAAGAAAGCATTTTTTGTCTTCTCCCCCCTTCTCCATCAAATAAACTCATTATACAAACAGGAAATTAATTTAATTTTCCTTGTCTTCCTTAAAACCTCATTCCCCAAATCAATTATGATGCACCATAAATCTGGCCTTTTTTTGGTTTTTTTGTTTGTTTGTTTGTTGGGGTTTTTTTGTTTTTAAATTAACCATCCTAATGAAAATGGTTAGTAACACCAGCAGTAAGACTGTGCTATCACCTTAATTATTTTGGAGAACAAATTATAAGTATTTACCCTTGGTCCTCTTCCTTTTATTTTCCTTCCAGATCTGGTCACTAGCAGCCTCCTCTGGTACGTTGACTGTGAATTCGACAGATTACTAAAAATAATTTTTAAAAAGTGATATTGGTTATAACATCAAAGAAAGAAGGAAAGACAAAATAAAACCAATTTTAAAACCTCTTCAGAAATGAAACTAAATAAAAACATACATTTAATTTTATTTTTTATTGTCAGTACAGACAGTAACAACCACACAGTAAAAACTTCTGATTTTGTGACCATAAAATATTTTACAAGATTTTCAGGTTTTTCCATTTTTGAAAGAAGAATAAATTATAGATTCATATTGGGCAGTTACAATAAATTCTAAACGAAATTGCACTGTGTTCTACTTTCTTTTTCTTGAATCAGTCATTTTAAATTTTTCACTCACTAAAAGCATTTTCAAAAACTAAGCCTTTGTTCTAGGACAAAGACAACAGTTACCAAGAAACTGAAAAATCCATTTTTCATCCAGCAGCACTCACAACATGGAACTGTTTAATAGGGAAAGGCCTCACTTAACAACAGAGTCCTAAAACAGTAACGTGACCATACCACTGTCAGCGTGTAGTCAGACTCAAACCAGATAGAGTACCTTTCTCTTTCCTTCTCTCTGCTTTTCCTCTCTTTTTCTTTCTCATCTACTTTAGGAGGACTTTTCCTCATCAGGAACCGGTTTTCAGGTACAGGAGGAATTTCTTCAGGACGGACAGTAGATAAAGGCTGTGCTTCAGGGTTTTCATCTTCGGTTTCACTAGATGAGCTTTATTTTTGTATAAAAAATATTTATACTTACAGTGAGGTACTTGGATGAGGAAAGACCTTTCAAGCTACTTAAGTAATTCAGAAATTCTCTTAGTTCAACACATGATACCACAAGAAACTCAGGAAACAGCTATTTCAGAAGTAACTTTTTCCCCCCCCTATGACGCCTTTGCAAAATGTACAACTGCAGTAGATTTCTGACCAGCATTTTTTATCTGTAAATTCCAATGGTGCAACACTGAACATACATTTACTATTTAGATACAGCTTTTTTTTTTTTTTAAATTATTTCTATCAGAGGAGTCAAATTCAGATTTTACACTATCATATATATTGCTACAAACTATTGTAATTCCAAAGAGTTGGTTTTAACAAACTTGTGTGAAATGGGTTTAGTCCCACAGAAAGAATGCTTAGGCAGCATTGCCCTAAGTGAACATTTCTTACATTTTGCTGCTAGCTTAGAAAAAACGTGACTTGCACTGACCCAACTAGTATCTCACATTGAGCTATAAGCAAAACTATTAGAAGTAACATTTTCAGAAGCAAGAGTACCTTCTGAGTTTTATTATCTTCCAGTAAAACTGCAAGATTTCTGGCATATTGGACAGAAATAACATTAAGCATGTTAATTTCTTAATGTTTTGTTTAGTTTTGCTTTTACTCCTGTATACTACATTCTCATGAATTCCACTGCATATAACTTAAGTTGAATTGCACAGTTAATTTCAGGCAACAAGCTACCACCACCCCTTTCAAACCAAGCACTCCGGCAACTTTTCAAGCCAAATATACCTAAGTCTTAGTCCATTCCTTCACTCCTTTACAAGCCGCAGCACACATGTGCACAGGGACACTGTCCTTTGCCATCATATCAGAAAAATTTAAGCTTGTATATAGAAACTGATTGTCTCCCAGATTTCAAAATACCTATTTTAGTAGTTACAGAATACTACTTTGTAGTTGTAGGACAAGGAAATGGTACTGTATGGTGTACACATAACAAAACATATCTCAAAACTGACCTTTTCTTGCTTTTCTTTCTCTTTTTCTTTTCCTTCTTATGTTTCTTGGAATTTTTCTTGTGTTTCTTTTTTCGCTTTTTAGATTTCTCTTCCGAAGCACTCTCAGAATCCGATGATGAATCAGAAGATGATTCTGAATCACTTGAACTTTCCGAGTCACTGGATGAGGAAGACGACTTATGTCTTTTCTTTTCTTCTTTCTTGGCTTTAAGTGAAAATAACAAAGACACATTTACTATCAAACACTTCTAAATAAACCTCAGATAGATCAACTTATGTAGTACCTGTTTGAGCTTCTTATAACTGTGTCATGAGATTACTTCAACAAAACACTTAAGAACAAATCGGAACTTTGGAGAAAACACTGTTTCTCCAAAGTACAATAACGAATATATATATATAGAAATATCTAAGAGATTTCCAAAACTTTGTATTTACAAAGCTCTAAAATATTAAATTTATACTGTCAAAAACCTGTAGAACTGCAAGTTTTCAGACGATGTTTCATAAAACATATGCTACATGTGAAGAATTACTTAAAAATTAGTTAGAAAGTGTTTATTAAAAAAAAAAATTCTTTGGCTTCAGATTTAACCTGACTTCATATAAAATAGAACACAGACTAAACTGATTACTCATTGATTTTAGCTCAACCTTCCTGCTAAGTAAAACCATGCTCAGAGAACAGTCCTAATCCTCCAGTTCATTGTGTGTTGTTTGGTTTTTTATTTTGTTTTGTTTGTTTGGGATTTTTTTTGTTTTTAACAGAAAGATACAAATAACTTTCTAACCACCCAGTATGAAAAGGGACCCTGCTAAAGAGCAGACTAGTCCTTAATTACGCATTTCACTATTTCTTGTGTGGTGGTAGGAGCTACATATCAGCCCTTACTGGCAATCTGATATTAGTCTGACAGGAAATAACCCAAGAACAAACACACCTTTTTATGTCCTTTAATTGATCTGAGGCCTATTTGAACTATTAAAAGTGATGTAAGTATTATTTCAGAGTCACACTAATTTGAAAAAAACCCAAACCAAACAATAAAAAATGTACTATAAAAATTTCACAAAAGAAAGTCTAGGCTTCTGAGTTATGACGCTTCAGGTAAACCAGTTAAATGGTATGAATACTCTTCAAACATATTATGAAATTCCTATCAGGTTATTGTCCAGAAAATGAAAAGCTCTACCTAGAAAATCAGGAAGAGCACACTGTGTGTCTTTGGATGGCTCTAGATGACTTCTCTAGCATCAAAAATTATTTTACTTTGCCATGGCAAATTGCAAAGGTAGTCCGTCATTCACTACACAACATACTACAGCCACAGACAGAAGAAACAGAACCTCTGCCACTAAACAGAAGGAAAACATACCAAAAATAAATACTGATGTTCAAACTGCCTGTTTCCTCACCACGGCAAACAATCCATATTTTAGGTGAACACCTGTTAAGACCTTAGAATGGGCTTTAGATCACAGGCAGAAATTAATTTTTAAATTGCACATGAATCCTAGCTGAAAGTATTAGCCAATTTTGCAAAGCTTTTAATATCTTGCTCTATCCAAAGAATTCATGGTTTAGAGAGATATTATCTGACCTACATCAACATACAAGCAGTTTAAACATAACCTCCCATCCCCTGCTCTTCTTCTGCACAAAACAGTCAAGGGAAAACATTAGCTGCCAAAGCCAGGATTATGACTGCTCAGCCTGTCCTCTTAGTATTACCTTTTGCTCTGTATATCATTATTGAATGTAAAACAGTGAAATCTCAAATATATGTAGTTGTCACATTTTACTGCTGTTGATCCATCTTCTCATGTACCATGTCTTGCTCAGAACACCTTCTGGCTGTACACTGCCATGTGTTGATGTTCTAGATTTATCAACAGCCTTCAGTACTGTTCCAGTGTCTTCATGAAAATATCCATAATAAGGCAGTATTGTTCTTTATCTTCAGCAAAGCATTAGCTGCTGGCATTACAGCATCTGTGTAAGCCAACACCTCTTTTGTAGCAATCCAGCATCCTACTCTGTCAGGGCTCCCATTCAGAATGCAGTGATATATACATAGTGGTGAAAGATTCCCTCTTCATAGTCAAGCAGAACATTTGCTTCCAAAAGAACTGGCCGAGATCAAACAAGATCTGGATGACAGCACACTTGCTGGGGCTTAATTCAGGTAACAGAGCAGATGACACATGGTGCAGAAAAATCTCAGCAGAAACAACTAATTGTGGCATCTTGGCCTCTCTTTTTGCGGTCATACTCTTTATGGATACTATTTTTTTTTTCCTTCTGACATTACTGAATCCCCACACAGGAACAGTGGGTAAAACTTACTCCCATTGCAGTAAATTGCATTAATTTTTCAGATTAGCATCACAGACACAAGTAATTCCTGTATGACTTCTAAAGTGACTTTTTTCATGGTGTTTTCTATGTGTTTACTCACAGTCCTCATTTGATACAGAATAACAAAAGCCTGACAACCAACTAAAACACATTTTCTGTACTTCCTGTTTATTCCTGGGTGTAGTATAAACTAGCACGTTGTCGTACCCATTTAGGACAGCCTGCTGACTGAAATCAGCTGGTTCTCAACAGATGTTTTTAGGGCTTCTTGCAAAATGCTTCCAAAATACAGGTCTCACTTTTTTTCACTTCTCTTGTTGGTCCAGACCAAGACAGCAGGTATCTTCTCTCAAACTTTTGCTCAATGTCATTATTAAAGCACTGTGTTTAATAAAAAGTCTCTGTAATATTTTAGATCAGTTTTAGATGGTATAAATACATATACATTAACTGGCTGTAAAAAGTATGTATTTATAAAAGAAAACTTAACAGTTTCCAAAGTAATTTCAATCAAAGGAGCCTGGTGTCATTTAGGCCTGGTGACACCCAGGCGAAAACAGGAATCTCACTTGAGCTCTGAATACCAAAAACACAAAAAGTAATAAAAAAAGTTAACTAATTTCTAAGTCCCAAGACACTTTCAAATACTTCTTATCTATTCAACGCTTTAGCTTTTGGTCCATCCAAAAAAACGCTATATTGCGCTGTACTGTTTCCTACATGCCTTCAGGCAAAACATGTCTCCAAGCTCAATTTCATAAATGTCTGAATAAGGCATCTATAAATGCAGTTATTTCCTGTATTTTCTCCCTCCTGCATGTGTTTTAAGTGTGTCAAAAAACATCTGTAACAGTTTTAACTGCATTCTTGTATGAAGTTTAGGTATGTTATAGTTATTACTTCAATATAAGTAATGGATAGAAATGGAGGCGAGTTAGGGAGCAACTACCTCGACAAACACAATGTGATTTTTAACATGCAGCAAATGGCAGATGTAGTTGGGAAATCATGTGATGGAGTGAAACGATGAGGGGAAGAGAAAAAAAACCAAAACAAAAAAAGACATCAAACCAACCAACCATGTAGAGAACCATGTACACAGCAAAGACAGGATATCTGGCAAGAGGTTTTGGATATACTGTCTGGTGACACCTAACTCTCTGTCCAGCAGCAAACGCTATTTTGAACACTGAATCAATTGGTGCCAGCCAATTACAGATAACAACAACAAATGAAACCAACCCTGCAGCATTAAGGTCAGCAAGACAGAAACAGGCTTCTATTTACAGTCCAACTGCTCCAGTTCATTACCTTCTAGATCAGGTTTCAACTTATGACCACATCTGAAATAGAAGTATCACTTCCTACTCCATTCACTGTGACCTATAGTATTTGCCAGACTTCATGAACTCCCATGATCATGCTGCACGGCACAGCCAGGCACCCTCAGCTTGTTATGGACTGTAGCAAGTCTTAGGTCAGTCCCATGGTTTCAGGCTCCTAGACTTGAAATGAAGAAATAATCTGGATAGAAAGCAGTCGGGTTCAAGCACTAACGTCAGAACAGATGATCTCATCTTGTAAATTCACAGCAGTGACACTCAAATGATTAATTGATACCAAGTCCAATAACCTGTGTTGGACTCCAGCAGTCTCCAAAAAGACAGTGCCTTTACTTCAGGACATTTAGACAGATACTTTCCCCAATAATTTTTTCCAGTGTTTAATCACCCTGCTGTTCAGAGTATCAGGTCTTTTTTACTAGTTTGAATGCGTCTTGCTTCAATTATTTGCCATGGGTTCTTATTATGTCTCTCCCTGCTTGATTAAGGATCCACTGTTTTTATACAATGAAAATTATACACAGCAATCCAGTCCTCAGACATATGCATCAGGGAAAGCTGCCATACTTGACTTTTGCTGATCAGATGACATTGTTACTGTGAGGAGTCCTGTATCACAGATGTTTTTGTGGAGAAACAACCTACCAACCAACTGTAAAACAGCAGAGGGAAAGAAGAAGAAAAAAAAGGGGGGAGAAAAAAATAGTCTGGAAAAGAAAAGTTTGAAGCAACTATTCATAGCAAACAGCTTGTGGAAAGGGGGCTGACAACGATGCGTAACAAGCTTGCAGAAGAAATTAGTACTCTAGGGACTGAACGGGTAAGGAAAGAGGAAAAGGAGGAGACACAAATCACAAGTCCAGGTAAGACGTGACTTAACAGAATCACCACTTTCTGAGACTGCTCTTATTCCATAGCTATTTCGTGTCTCCTAAATGTGTAACTTTGTACTCTGCATCACTGCTTGATTATTTGTACTTACAGTTTTTTTAACAGAAATCATACTGATAGAATGACCTAATTACAATGTTGCTCTTTGATGAATTATGAAGGCAGCCATAATCTGCCTTAATTGCAGAAGGCACACTTTTATGAGCACCGATTCTACAGGGACATCTATAACATCAATGAAGATCCCAAATCAAGCCTACCACTGTTGTGTGCAGAATCCCCTAGAAATAAACTTTTCATGAGAAACCTTTGTTAGAGGCTCGTGTTAAAAACTGCCCAAAGCACATAGCTGTTTCATTTTTTGGTTGGTTTTGAATCAGGATGTCAGTGTCTTACATTCTTGAAAATCTATCTATATCCCAGATAACACCTTTGATTAACCAAAGTCATGATCTCAAACAACACAGCCACCCTTGTTTGACTAGATCTCCTTTTCCAAAACTTTGTCAATTGGTATCAAACTCCCATTTGCCTTTAAAAAAACTAAATTATTGTATTATGTCACTTGAATTATACTAGTTTAGCTAGTCCACAATGATCTTTCTGAATACCGGCATAATACTTAACTTTCTTCTTCCCCTCCCCAGCTTTCAGGATTTTCCCTAGAACGTTAAAATTTTCTAAAAATAATACCACTTGGCCAGAAAGACTCTTCTTTTATAATTTAGCTCCTCTTGTTCATTTTCACTAGCTCCTCCAACTTTAAGGAATAAACAGAAAAGAAAAAAAATCCAAAGGAAAAGATGACAAACATCCCACTTTTCTAGGTGATCATCCTCTCAAAGCTTCTGATCTAGACCTCTGCAATATTGTAATTGTGATCGCTGCATCATTCAGTTCACATAGTGTCCAGTAAGTTAGTTCAGTCATCATCCACTCACGCCTAAATAAATCCAATTCTTCTACACAAAGAGACAGATTTGCTTCCTTCATAAAGCACTTCATCTGGATATTCACCATGATAACCCAAAAATCTGATAATCTTTCTTCAACTTTAACCTAAGAGGAAAACGTTCATACCAAACACGTAACTTCTGCAGTGATTCCTTCTGCTACTGCCATCCTGGCTTCCCTCCTGAACCCAAGAAGAATCAGTTCTATTTTCATTCCATAAAGACTTTTCCAATTCCTTCCTTTGTGTTGCCTACCAGACAAGCTCGTGCAATAAATATTTTAGTTTAAGCCTCCCTTCCTATCATCATGTACCCTCCCACTGAATTCGCCATTGTAATTTCCTCACTGGCAACCTCATCGCTTTGTCTCAACCGCAAATTCCTAGAAGCCGTGTCTTCTGGTAACTGCCTCTCATTTCAAAGCATCAGTTCCCTTTTGCGTCCCACAGTAAAGTGCTACAAACAGTTCCACTGTTAGGTGACTTGCTGTTGATCATCTTCCATGACACTGCTCACCTCCCAGAAACTGGCTGTCCTATCTGGATTCCCTGGCCTCTTCCATATATTGACAGGTCCAAGGGCCTCTCCTGCTCCACTTCTCAGCTTTGGACTGCAGCTTGGCAAATCTCCTTCTGCTGATGTGATGACAAACTGTTCCTCCCTGTCTCCACTGCCTCAGGTCAGCATAGCTCATCAAACAATTCCAGCCATACTATCATCTCTCACAGTAGTGGTGGATTTCCCATTGCAGGTCCCACAGATGGCCTTTCCCTTTCAATGGCAGGATCATGGTCCGTCAGGCAGCACCTTCATCAGGCTGGCTCTGCATTAGTGCCTATTAAGGGCCTACATCTCCCTGCACTCAGCTCTGCCCTCACCTTGCCCAATCGTGGTGCCTAAGGTCTCTTGTTCTGCAAACACTCCTGCTGCCCACCACTATCTACTACTGTGCCTTATATCAGGTGAGTGGGCTACCCATTGCCCTGGCACCAATCTCCCTCCGTGGCACAGCAGACCAGCTACAGGAAGCAGTCTCCAGGACCCCACCAGTACTGAGGCAAAGAGATACAAGGACACAGACAAATGGATAGGACCAGTCAGTCAGATCTTTCCAGAAGCCTGTTCTCTTTTAGGAGATGTTAAAGGAAAAAAACATTTTGCATTTATTTTATTGACTCTTTTGATGGCTAGTATTTTAAAGCCCTGCCTAATGGCTTTAAGTCATCAGACTGCTCAGTGCCAAAATTTTCATTTAGTCATTCAATTTCAAGTGTTCTAGACTGGACTAAAAAAAGTGTGGCAAACCAAGGCAGATATATATACTGAGAAAGTATGTCACCCGCTAGCTTCACCTGTTCTGTACTTATTTTATTTTCTAATCTACGTCGCCTGTGCATTTTCTAACAGATACCACGCTCCCAAGTACTGTCCAGAAATACAAAATTATGTCCTAACACACAGGGTGACTTATGAGTGAATCTAAGAATTTCTAGAACCTTTGAGAAGTCAGCTGCCATAAGCATAACTTTGCTTGGAATTCTGATGTATTGAAGACATCACTTCAGACTCCAAAGTCATGCTGCTAGACATCACAACAGGCGAACACAGAACTGCATCAAAAAGGAGTTGAAAAACTAAGAAGCTCAAATTTGAATGCCTGTGTTTTCCTTAGTACAAAGAAACAATTATCCTTGTCTTGTGCTTCAATATCCTTGGTGCAACCCTTCACAGTATGTGTTAGCAGAAGTTGCCACAAATGAAAATGCATGATGATCCCTATCGTAGCTCCTACCAAACATGCATCCTGGGTTTCCTCTAATGAGATTCTCCAGAGCCACAGCAACATCTTAGATTGAGCCTTATTTTGTAAGACAAGCAGAATCCAATCTCTTCAGCTCTGGGAATCACAGAGCAGAGCACCCCTTCCAGAAAGAAAGGCAGGTTCTGTCATGTTCTTGTTGAAGAATATACTTCACAGTAACTTAAAAAGGATAACTGCTAAAGGGCAATTCCAAGCTTTTCTACTCATAAGTGCCTGTTCTGAAGATTTACCTGAAAGAATCATGAAGTAAGTTCAATACCTGCAAAGAAAGCAGCTGTTATCAAATAAAGTCAGACTTCCATCAATCTTCTTAACATAGCACCCTACTTTCTACGGGACAAGTGCTTGCCAGCTTTGTAGTAAAACATAGCTAGTGTAAGGGAATCCAAGACAGGAAAAGCTTTGAAGAAAGCATATATAATCTTTCTTTAATGTCTTATGAATCAACACCTTTTAAGTTTTTTAGAAGACAAACAGTACTGCAATGTTATTTACCTTTTCACCAATTGCCCCTCTGTCCATCATGAGTAAGTTTTAAAATATTTTTATAAGCAACCAACAGGGAAGAAAGTGAAAAAAATTACCTCATAGTCTGCATCTATGAAAATGTGCAGTTCAACTTTACCTTTGGATTTTGGAATTAACTCTCCACAACTCAGTATGCGTACTTCAGCATAGGGTTTACTAGATGCATCGGTTTTCTGGTTTTCTATTTCTCGCACAACTTCCTGACCTGAGATGACTTGTCCAAAAACAACATGATGTCTGAAGAATTTAAACAAAAGTAAGAATTCTTAGTACTTAATCTTCTCAAGATACTTCCCAAACAAACATAAAGAGATAAGAGACACTCACCCATCTAAGTGAGGTGTAGGTTTAGTTGTTCTGTTGTTTCCAGATTTTAATTTAAAGAAAAAAACAAAGTCAGTATTAGTGGAAAGCAGTCAGCATCTGAAGCACGTCATATACATATATGAAGGTGAAAGTTCTTTTGCCTGAACTAATAAAATTGAACAAAACTAATATATATTATTCTAAGTTTGTGCAGTTAGAAGTATTTAATGTTTTATTCATTAAACTACTGTCCTGGTTCGAAGTAAAACTGAACCAGTTTTCTGTTCAGTAATTGTACTTTTCAGTTGAGCCTCTTCTACCCTTTAGCATCCAGCCCAGTACCAGTAACAGCTCCTCCTGGTGCCCGAATCACGACAACTACCTATTCAATCCATTACTTTGATAATCACATTTTACTGGACAAACAAAAGTACTCATAAATTTTTAGACAGCATCCTCATATATGATACAGTAAGTATTCTATTTATTAAATTATATAACTACTATCAGGAACAGATATAAAAATTAAGGCAACTGTCTTAGAGCAGGAAAACTGCAAATAGCCTTCTATACATTAGAAAATAATCAGAAATCGAAGGAAGAAAAAAACACCTATATGTACAGATTATTTCACAGAAAAGTAGAAATGATTTTGTCTCAGCTTTCCTCTACATCAGCATTACTAAGGCATATGGATGTCAGCCACGGCAAAAATAAAAAACGGGGATAATTATAGTAATGATCAGTCAAAAATCCCTAAATAAGGGTCTAATGGTAAGTGGCATCCACAACCCAACATGTTAATTAAGATCATGGAACATAGGTAAGTATTGTATTTCAATGAAGTTCTCTGTAGACAAATTAGATTAAAGAAAACTCTACTGCAATGGATTTTAAGAATTTAAGTTTTAACTGCAAATGAGACTACATTAGCAAGTTATTTTGTGACAAAAAAACCCCAACCCTCTACTACTTTTGAGATGCCCCAGAGCTGTTTTGCTTCCTCCCAGACAACACTTACTAGAAGATAGTACTAAGAGTCTAGCAAGGAACTAGCAGGTTTGCTGTATTGCCCAAGTTAAAACAGAGCTACTGAAAAACATCAAAAGCTCTTCTGCGCAGGCAATAAGCACTAAACACAAAAGTGATAAAAATAGTTAGGCTGCCTAAACAGCTGTCATGGTTTGGGCTGGGCCGGGCAGCGCCTTAGGAAAATGTCTACTTCTATGCAACTTTGTGAAAAAACATCAACTTTGGGTCTGCACAGGAGCTAGTCTTCAATATCTAAAAGGATTATTTTTACAGCTTATGAATAGCAAACAGCACACCCATTCCAGGAGAGCACAATACTTACATAAAGAACTGCGAACCATTTGTATCCTTCCCTCGGTTGGCCATTGAGAGGAGAAATTCTTTGTTGTGCTTGACAGCAAAGCTTTCATCTAAACAAAGTGTTTTCAATTACTTCAAATATACCTCATGTGCTTAGGTAAATGCTATAATCTAAATAAACTCATCCTTATTAAATAAATATGCTAATCACTTCAATAAAAAGTTGTATTAAAAATAGATTCAAGAAAATAACTACTTTTTCAATATATTATTCCTTCCATTCTACATAATGCAATTTAGCAAGGACAAATATGAATTAGTGGTTTATAGCCTGAGAAAAGACTAACAAATTGATTATTGTTGTTCAAGAGATTTGCTTCCTACCACCATGAGCAGAGACCTCATCATTTTAAGTTGTTGCTCTAAGTTGTTCTGCACATACTGATCATTGCCTCTTTGGAGCAGGAGTTCTTTAGCTGCGCAATAACTATTACGAAACTTCTCATTTTCAGGCAGTTTTGCTCTTTTACTGTTTTTTAAAACACACGGATATCCAGTTTGATAGCAATCCCAAACAACTTCTGTTTGTCTGTCAGACACACAAATGAACTTATCAAGCTGAACATTATGAAAATAATTTTAACTTGAATAAATCCTACTTCTGATGAGCAAATCATTGTAACAGTTGAAACTAAATCCCAATGAAACTGAAGTGTAATCACTATTCTTCATTTAAGACATCTATAAGAAATTATCCTCTCTCATTCCTTTCCCGAAACAGCATAGAGGCTGCTGAGGACCCAAACTCTTCAGACAGAGGAAATTTGCTCAATATTGTTTAGATACAGATGGCAGGAGCAAGCATTAACAAAGAAAAACATGCTATACGTAAGGTTGTGGTTTCACATCACACAGTGTCACCTGCAGTGAAAGGGACAGTCCCACTCCCTCTCCAGTCACCTGTACAATTGCTATCTGGCATAGCATCAAGTGTCAGTCTAGTCCTATGGTGACTTGGTTAAGGGATCCACAAAAGCAAAAACTCCCATGAATTCCATTTCATACTGTGGTTGAGCTGAACAGCCAACTTAAAACTACCAGAAGGCGGGTGGAGGTTTTGCTCCTTCTTCCATCCCCCCCAACCATACATTTCCTCAAACCCAGCTACTCATCTGTGTTGGTCTGGATGCTTGCCAAAGTATTGAACTGGGTCCACTCACTAAATGGAAATACATTTTTTTACTGCAACAATATTTGGGCATTTTGGCAACCTGAATCAGCTGAAAGTTTCATCTGAATGCGAGTCAGTGCAAAGTAAGACCTCATCCCTCTTTTGCAGTTGCAAACCATTGAGTCAACTCAAGGTCTGATATAAAAATGCAGCCTGACCCTACTAAGATAGAGAATAATTCTTTTGATTGCTTGCTGCAAGCTCAGACAAGAACAATAATGTTAAAAGAAAAGCGGCAGGGAGGAGAGAGGAGCATAACCACTCCTACTGCTGGCAGCTAGCCATCACATGGGCTTAGGTGTAATACAAAAAGCTGCTCCAAGCAGCACTGAGATGGCTCCGCTACATTTTGGACAAACAGGCTGAGGAACATTGGAGTGCAGAAGAGGTGCTGCTTCTGCAACACTGACTGAAAAATAACCAGGACTGTGAGAGAACTGATGGCCCCCTTATGATTAATTCATTTTGGGTTCAGGAAAGCAGGAATTTATGCTTTCTTTTAAATAAACATTTGCAAGGAAACTCGACTCCATCATGCCTTCTTTTCACTGGAAGAAACGACAATACCCAACTTTTAGCTAGCTGCTCAAGCCAAAAGTGTATGTATACAAACAGTTATAAAAATCAAAATCCAAACAGAAATATACAAAGGAGTTTGGTTTTAATTTTTCATTAGTTTAAAATGCTCATGTCTGTTGTGGTTTAACCCTAGCTGGTGGGAGGGGGGAGAAAATTGGAAGAGTAAAAGTGAGAAAACTCATGGGTTGAGATAAAGATAGCTTAATAGGTACAGCAAAAGCTGCCTGCACAAGCAAAGCAAAACAAGGAATTCATTCACTGTTTCCCATCAACAGGCAGGTGTTCAGCCATCTCCATAAAAGCAGGGCTCCAACACACGTACCCGTTACTTGGGAAGACAAACACTCTAACTCTGAGTGTGTCCTCCCCTCCTTCTTCTCCCCCCAGCTTTATATGCTGAGCACAACATCATAATGGCAGGGAATCATCCTTTTGTCAGCTGGGGTGAGCTGTGTCCCCTCCCAATGTCTTTTGCGCCCCCAGTCCACTTGCTGGACTTGTGCGCCCATAGAAGGCCTTTCCTCTGTGTAAGCGTTGCTCAGCAATAACAAAAACATCTCTACATTATCAACACTGTTTTCAGCACAAATCCAAAACATAGCCCCGTACCAGCTACTCTGATGGAAATTAGCTATCTTAAAAATAAAATAAAATAACAAACTGGACAGTCAAAGGCCTCTAAGACCAGATAAAATCTTAGCAAAAACAACGGAGTTCAGCTTTATGGAACAGAGACTATGGAATATAAAGGTGATTGCTTACAGTAACACCAAAATAGAGCAGACTGATAAAATTCTTACCTTCAAAAAAGCCACCATAAATGGATTCTCCTCCCCTGCCATTTCCTTGAAAGATGAAACGTCACAGTTACAACTTAACATGACTTTTAATCATTACTGTATGTGGAAGGTGCTTCATAATATCAAATACTGATCCAACTGCATTCAAGTTACTGACATTATTCTTCAAGATATACAAAGAAGATCAAGATGCATCTTTGTAGTTTCAAAGCAAAATTGGAAAACAAGAGAGTATTCTCCCATGCCTTCTCCCTTTTTTCTTTATTTCTCAGCTGCAGATAGGATATTTTACCCTCACATTTAAACCTTGCAATGGAAGGTACCCAGTACTCTGAATACTGAGTTCATGGAGCAAAGTGTCTGTGTGCGCACACACATGTACAATATATATTAATATATAAGTTTACATGTTAAGGTCCTTACACAGAAAATAGGGAAAAAAGCAGTTGAATCACAGAATAATTAATATAAGGAAGTGATGGTACATAGAACTCCTGCTACATTCTATCACATCAGCATTAAAGTTTTCTTCCAAGATTCACATCCTACCTTCGCTGAAGTCACCTCCTTGGATCATAAAATCTTTCACAACCCTGTGAAACAGACAACTTTTGTAATGCAATGGCTTTTGGGTGGATTTTCCTGTACCCTTTTCACCTAAAGGAGAAGGAGGAACAAAACCCAAAATTACTCTCTGCACCTGTAGAATGTCCACTACAAAAAAGTGCTACATAAGCTCTTAATCAAAATCATCTGCTAAACTCTGAAAAATTAGCTTGTGAGGTACACACATACCTGCAATACCAAGCAGAAACTAGCATTTAAGAAAGCAGAGCAGAAACTACCTTCCATCTCTACAGTTATACCTGAAGATCTCCTTACTGACTTCAGCATACAACTCTGGTCTCTTCCATGCAGATTGACCGAAATTAAACAGCCAGTTTAGGTTTAAGATCACTGGCATTGCTCAGAAGCATGCACGAACCAGATCTTCAGTTACAACACGGCAAGGTTAAGGCACCATAAAAAACTCCTAACAAAGAGACAGGGGGAAGGAGAAGGAATCTTGTTCCCCCCCGCCTCCTGCTTACAACTGCCATCTTCCTCCCTTAAATCAGTTCTGGTGCTGAAGACCCGTAAGCATGCTCTGCTTCAGCTACAACACTATCTACTCTCCCTCCTCCCCTCAAATAATAAGGTCTCTGCTAAGTTAGCAAGATGAACGGCTCATTGTGGGCTCTGTAAATGGCAGAGGCAACCTCAAGGTAACAATAATCAGTGGGAGTATGTTGGAAGGAGAAGGATCTCTTCCTCTCAGTGCTGGCAAACCTTGAGACTGTATTCCTATAACCTTATTCTGAGTTACTATGTCGGCAGCCTTTGTCAAGGGCAGTTGCCTCTGAACTTACCTGTAATAGATTGGTGCCTCCATATGTATCTGAATAGCTAGAAAAAACACTTTTGATAAATGCAAAGCTGTATCTGTTTCACTAACTTGGGATATGCCTAATATAGGTATGCCAGGAAAACACAGAGCTGTTGAACCCTATTTTAATAAGAGAGCACATACTTTTCAAAACTGCCTGAAAAAAAATAATGAGTAAGGAAAACAAAATCAAAATTTGAATTAATTTGCTGATAATACCATAAACACTCTGCCTGTATATTTTCCTCACTATTCTTAAAGCAGCAAAATAGTTCAGCATCTGAATTTGCATGTCGGCAACTAAGTATGAACTCAGTAGTGCTCATTCCTGACCTGAAATACTGTTGAAAAAGTTCAAGTCAAAAATTTAAAGCAGTGGCCGGGAATAACATATTTGTGCAATAAAAACAACTTTTGATCAGCTGATAGCGGATCAAGAATGCCATGGTCACATGATAATATACTCACAGCCACTAAAAAGAATCACCTAAAGGTTCAAATTTGTTACCAAATTTTGATAATCTGATTTTGTGCCAGTAAATCTAATGCCAGATCAGGTAATACATACATTCCTGCAGATGCCATGAATGGTGCACTAAATGTTCTAGCTAACTTGACATGAATGTAATTATGCACCCACACTTGATCCAGATCGTATTAATACTGCTAAGTGATTCAGCATTAACAGCTATGGAGCCTTGACCTGAAAATCAACAGAGCTGGAAGGAAAGGAAGAAGAAAATGCCAAATACAGAAAGCATGTATTGCTATTTATGTATTCACAATTTTATTCTAGTGCTAATAATTTAAAGTTTTGCTAAACTGTCAGTATTTTCAACAAAAGCATGCAGTCCACAAGACAACAACTCTGTTTGGAAATGCTTCCAGGAGAGAAACTTCTCAGTATCTTGTTCAAGAAATAATCTGAATTTCAATAGAAGTGGAAGTCACCAGTCTTCGTCAACAAAGAAAAATAAAAATTAATACCCCCCCCCCCAAACCCAATGAATTCTAGCAATACCTTTCAAATACCTCAAAGTATTGTAAGACTGAAAAGTAAGTTTGCATGGTTGACCTCTTATGGCTACATTTCAAGACTGGATGATGTTATATAATGTGAACAGTAATATCTATGCTACTAACAGGAAATCAGCTTACTGTGTCCGCATTTAAAGTTAATTAGCATATACTCCCTGCGACATACTAAACCAGAGCTACAACTGCTTTGATTCTACATCAGATCTACATTAGAAATCAGCTAAATCTCTACAGATACCAAGAACCAACTTTTTACATACTTACTTTTACATGTAAGAAAGTGTCAGGAAAAATAACATCGACATCAAACTAGCTAACATGGCATTACATTTAAAATTACAAATAAAATTAAAAATCATAAATAAAAATGTAAAATCCACAAACCTGTGCAAAGGCAGCGAAAATTCTCACATGTTTTTGGACACACATCTGAAAACAGTTCAAAGACCACTCTTCCAGCTAGAAAAAAAGCACCATATTTATTAGGAAGTTAACTAGTATTTGTATTATTCTTCTATATCTTATATGAATATCATGTTACTGAATGGGTATTTTAATTTTCTTACCAGGTACATTGTTGATGGCTATGTCAAAAAAGCAACGAGGTCTCTGGACCTTTACTCCCATGGCTTCAAAAGTTTAAATACTGTAAGTAATAAAAATAAAATTTAGTTTTTCCTTCTGTGTAGTGAACCTACAATTAAGTCAACATTGAAGAAAACAGAAACAGCTGAAAAGCAAACCTTCAAAACCTTAAAAAAACCTTCTCCCCTTCTTTGGAGATTTTCAAGACCCGCCTGGATGCAGTCCTGAGTAACATGCTCTAGCTCTAGGCAATCCTGCTTCAGCAGGGGAGTTGGACTAGATGATCTCTATGGTCCCTTCCAACTCTAAAAATTTAGTGAAATTCAATGAAAATAACAGCAAACAAAAGTATTTCTGAAGGTTCAGCAAACGCCAAGTATTTTAGGTAACTTTCATGTTTTGTAGACACGAATGATTTTATTCATGTTTGCTGCAACAGTATTAAATTTAAAGTTGAATGCCATACTTCAGATGAGGAAATACAAGAAGAAAAGATACTGCAAAGTATGAGGATAATAAAGCTTGAAGTCTTCTTGCTATCAAGATGGTACAGGAAATCACATAAGCTGTCTGCTCCCAGAATTCTATATCATAAGTAGAATAAGCATCAGAGAGAAAAAAAAAAGAAAAAAGAAATCAGCTTTGAAACCATCAACTTGAGTGCTCTCAAACAACTTTTTGCAACTGCCTTTCAGCTGTTTAAAAAGACTCAATTGCAATCTCTGCTAGGCTCAGTGGTAGCAGCTGAGGTGGCTGCCATCTCCAAATGCCAACCCACCCCTCTGGTCAGGGCTACCAGCCTCAGATCAGGCCTGTTCTCAGGAATACATCAGCTGCTGCAGCCCACCACTCAAGTTCAGTTCATCTCAGTTACTATTAATTACCTGGGCCATGAACTACAGCTGCTCAAGAGAGAACATACTGCTCGTCTAGGAGCACAGAAAGGTGAACAACCCATGATGGCGAACTTCTTCAACTGCTGTGAGTATTAATTGCTCAAGTCAAGTAGGTATATGTTCACAGATACCAGAACTTTTGCCACAAATAAAGAGAACGGTTAACAAGTGGAACAAAACTTATGATGGTTACAACATGACAAATCACCAACACACTGCCACGTTAAAATTTAAGCATTCAATTTCTTAGGAATATATTTCCCAGATCCCTCTCACTGCAGTTATCAGAAGCTACTCTAATTAGGATTTAAACGATTCTACATGAAAAAAAATACAAAGATGTAGCTCTTCCACAATAATTGCTAAGTGAAATTATTTTGGCTTTTTCTTAATATTTTTTTTTATTTTTTATGTCATCGCTTATCTTGTTGGAGTCACCATCCCTGGAGGCATTTAAAAGACATGTAGACATGGTGCTTAGGGACATAGTTTAGTGGTGGACTCAGTAGCGTTAGGTTTACAGTTTGACTCAACGATCTTAAGGGTCTGTTCCAACATAAATGATTCTATAATTCTTTATCAAGAATTTTAACGCAACTTTTCCATTATCTTTGCATATATAAATCCCTTTATTTGTGTGTGACAAGCAATGTCTTAATTCCATTTGCATGTCTGGCCAACATTATGTACAATCATGACACTCTCTTCCTTTTCTGAAGGCCCACACTCTCTGAATTCCTTCAAAGAGGGGAAAAAAACAATGACAGCAAAAGGATCTGTAAGACCGGAGCACCTTTTCCAGAATTTGGAATATAATCCATAGATTTTCAGTTCTAATTATTTTTTATTGCCAGAAAACACTACTCGAATCCAGCTGACATACTGCACAAATCTCTCCTAGAGCTTCACTCATAGCTGTGCCACAGAACAGCCTCGAAAAATTCAATTGTCACCATCTGTCACTCTCAGCTTATGAACAAGGGACTATAAGATATCAAAAGACAGGAGTGTAATCACGTTAGCCCATATTCTCTCTACTTGTGCTCAGTGTCACTCCTAATGTTTTGCCAAGATTACACAGTGAAGAATCACAAGAACAATGCAGTACTGATTTAAATTAAACACCAATCAGTAGTTTCTCATTCATGTGATTTTTAGTACGAGAAGACTTTGCAAACACGCCGAATCTCACTAGGTATCCTCTTGGCTGTGTAATGAACACATTAATTCACACAAGCCAGAGACTCGTCAGAAGCAGCAGGCTTGCCTCAGTTGTCTTGCTCCCCTCCCTGAATTACCATTTCTCTTCCATTAGTACAACAAATTTTGCATCCAGGCAGAGAAACAAATAGAGAAAACACCTGTAGCCAAGAACTGTGATGTTGTCAGGTTAGGAGAAGGCTGACCTGCTCACCACACTGCTGCACAGACTCTGGGGCAGCACAAGGAAAGTGGGCAAGGGTGTGGGCAAGGGAAGGGAGATGAGACAAGTGGGAGGGGACAGACCGCCTTCAGAACCAGCCCAACCCAAAGGACAGCCATCAGCTCAGCTGTCAGCAGCAGAACAGACCATACAGGTGCACAGAGGGGCAGGGGGGTTGATATTTTTTTCTAGGAAACATCTCAGAATCCATGCTACAATAAATGTTTGGTGGTAGAACTGACAGATTTAACTCAACTGAGACATCCAAGGACCGGTAGTACCACACCTGACTTATTGATCCTACCCAAACTTCAGGCATCTACCTGTAGCGCTTGAGTGAGAAGGGATTTAACTCCTGCTTTAAGGCAATTTGATTGAGGAACGTAGAGGTTATGCTTTAACAATTATATACAGTATTTTAGCAAAAATAAAAGCAAACTGTCTTAATGTGACACACTTTTTATTTCAAACATTGATAATGACTAAAGCTAAATTGTAAAATAAATGTCAATATGCCTGTGTCAGTCAATTTTTAATTCGGTTTTGTAGACAACAGGCTGGGAGAGAGAAGGAAAAAATAATGAATCCTACTTGAATCCCTATTCTTACCAACTTTTGCTCAATTTGATGGTTTTCTACCTCTACATTGTCTCATGAACAGGGGAACAAATGAAGTTTACTGTGTTCTAAACGTTACCTCCAATTCCCCCTGCACTTTCCCTAAATCCTCTAATAATATCCCTTAAATACTGGCTGCACTTGGTTCTAAATGACAGTTATGTCAACTGGTCAGTATGAATACCCTGACTGGGCAAACACCAGGCCAAGTAAATACAGCTAACTCTCCAGCTGATGGTGCCTAGTAAACCAGGCTAAAACATCAGTGATGTTTATCCTAGCCACCTACAGGTCAAATGAGCATTTCCCTCCAGTTTACTTAAGTACCTTTTGCAGAGTTATTACTTTAGACAGACCTTCTCCTGAAGTGTTACAGGGAAACCTACTGATTTACAAATGATCCATAAGCTATTAATTTCTATTCATGTAGTGTTTAATACCAAATGCAATCTTGTACATACCAATCATTTAAAAGCAAGTACATGGGGTATGAATGTTAAATGCAGAACCAACAAAGAAAAAACAATTTGAAAATACCAAGAATGAAGTCAGAAAATTACAAATACAATAGTACCATATGTGCAGTAACAATAGGGCTTACATGACTTGTGTATCTATATCTTCAAATTTATTTTCATTTAAAATGTGGATACTCTTAACCCTAAATATTTTGCATATTTCAATTGTCAACTTGATGGAATTTTACTAGTGAAAGGAATATGATTTTCAAGTCAACCCGAAAGATACAAACATAAATGAGCTATGCAGAAGAGCAATCCTGAGAAGTCAGCTCATTTCTTCCTTCTAAAACTCTCTAAGAAAAGACACTGTAACAACCTAAGTACTATCCTGAAACGTTCAAATCCTTCATCATTCTCAACTACCTCCTGTTTGAGGAGCCTCTTACTAAGTTTTAGTAGAAAAAAAAAAACCCCAAACAAACCAAACAAAAACCCCACTTCAGTATATCTAACAAAAGAGGCCTGTTTGTTTTATTTCTGAAAGTGGAATTACAGTTCAGTTTAGACCATATTTATGTTTATTGACAAATACACTAAGATGTTTAGTTTTGTCAGAACAGCTGCATCCATAACCAATGCATCACTAGCTGTGTCCGTCAGGGTTCACATCCCTTCACACCCCCATCAGACTCATTATTTTGTTCAAATATTTGCAGGATAAAGCTGTCCAATTCACAGCCGGGCTGCAGACAGCTGTTCTCCTTCAAAATTATCTCTGCCAATGGAAAAAGACAACCATCCCCAACTGTTCACAAGCATCTTTCTGCCAGAGATTATCACTCATATGTGTTGATATGCTTAAAAATACATTTTAGCGAATTTTCTTCAAAGTCACCTGTGCTAGCAAGGATCTGGTAATAATGCTGTTTAATATAAACTAGCTCTCTCTGACTGAAATAGGCTAAAGAGCACTCAGATGCACACCAACTAAAGCATCAATGTGTCATGCATCTCACAAGAACTAGTAAGGGGAAGAAAACCCCAACCTTCAGCTGTATCTACACTGAACAGGTCATGGGACTACCTATTTGTTTCAGTCCCTGCACAGGACAGCAGAGATTTGGAACAAAGATGTATTCAGTAGGAAAAATATATATTGTATCCTATTCCTTCACTTCTTTCTCTGTCATTATCAGCTCTCCCCTATTTTTAATTTCTCCTTGACCTTGCCTTTGTATTTGTTCCCTTGCATCAATTTATAATTATCTTCTACATTGATCTTCATTCAGTGCCCAAATGAAGTGAACAGTAAAGCGCATAAATTCACATTCCTAGCATTTTGTTTCAGACCATCCACAAATGCAGAAAGGCAAAACTACGCTGATTTATACTGCAAAAATAGCCATCTGGAATCTTCAGAAATATATTTTTAAGCAAAACTTTGAGTCCTGAAAACACAAATGTACAAAGTGAATACTGAACATACACCACATTCACTAGGCTATGGTTCCAGTCATTCGAAGCCAATATAAATGCAGGCCGATACCAGAATGGAGGGCTCATACACGTTTAGCTCTCATACAGGTGACCATCTTGCTGCATAAAAAATACCTTTTCCTCCCCCTCCAAGAAAAGATTCGGCAGCAGCACATATCAGCTTCAAGAGACAGTGGAGCCATAGACTAAAGACACATGTTCATTCCAGTATGGATTACACTGGAAACGAATTTATTACTGTGAGATGGAAGACATGAAATTTTGTTCCTAGTTCCATTCCTGTGCCAGACCTTCCAGCTGCATTAGGATTATACTGAAGGTGTGAACAACAAAAATCATAACAGCTCAACCCTCAATCTCCATCATTTCCTCAGCATTTTCTCCAAACACCCCATCCTTTCCTCTGCGTTTCACCATCAAAAACCTCTGAATTAGCAGCAATGACAATTAATTAATTTTTTTTTTTATTTTACTAATCAGCAGAATAGGATTTTTGTTGTCAGCAGATTTCCAAATAAGGTACTACACTTGAACACATTTCAAGTTTAGGATGCTGTCTTTGCAATCACATCGAATTAACACCTCTATAAGAAAAAACGAAAACATTTGCATTCTACACAGGTCTATGAAATTTATGCAAGAAAACTTTCTACTCATCATCAGAAATCACATATTGTAAGTTTTCAACCTGACTGCCCCTGTATTTAGAGGGAAAAAGCCAACCACAAAAAAGACTTTCACCGCTTCTGCAGACAAAAGTAATTGACGCCACTTTCCATCAGGCTTCCTTCTCTAGAATAGAGCTACAAGTCTTTTTTGGACTATTGACACAGTATTTTCCCCCAAAAAAAAGAAATAAAATCGAGAGATACCTGGCATATCAACCATTGTCTTCCATGGACATGAGCCTAAAGCCTGCTATCCTCTTAGGGAGATTTAAGAAAATACCATCCTCAGATAGGTCCTGACTAAATATGCTGTATATACTCCTAACACTACTGCACTGCATGGTTAATTTACATGACTTTCAGTATGAATTTTTGCAATTATTAACATGAATTCAGTCTTCTTGTACCAAAGAATATAAGGAATACACACTCAGTTGCCCCTTGTTTTATTTTCCTAAGACAGAGACACCTACAATGAAAAAGATGTTAAACCACACTCTTGTCAACAGCAAGTAAAAAGCTTTGTTGCCAAGAGTTAGTCATTTTTTATTATCTAATTTATGCAGAAAGTACTTTTTTTTTTTCCCCCCGTTAACATCTGTGAAAAAATACAGGTGTTTTCTCCCAGGTCTGTTCACAAATACGTGCTTTTGTTGGTGTTCACTGCTCTCCCAGAAGCAGCAAAGAAACACGTCCATTTCAATTCCACTATTCATAACCAGAAAGTGGATTAGCATAGACCTGAAACCATTAATTTATATTTTAAAACTTAGAACATACTAAGAAAAGGCAAGCTTTAGCATTGTATGAAAGGGAAAAAAGCTTTTAAAGGGTCTAGTGTTATCTCCGAGCCATTTATGCATTAGAATCGCCGAACTAAATTTCAGAAGTGGAATGCCTTCCTCCCTTGTTTGAGAGTAAGGCAAGACTATGCAACAGTATGAAACACATCTTAACGTTGACCCATATTTGTCAGCCATAAGAAAAAAAAAAAGCTTGTTCTAGCATCTTCTACTCTCATGTTCTCTTCCTTTCTTTCCTACTTCAGCTCTAGATCATTTCCCTGCCTCATCCCAGCCTCCTACCTAAACTTCACTTCATTAGAAGATGGCCAGATTTGCTCCCTGGCACTCACTGACTCTGCTTCCAAAAGGAAGATGGCTCCTAAATGCACATGGCATGGAGGAGTGGAGACATCATGCTGCAGCAGAGTAAAATCCACCATTGCAGTACATATTCTTCACTCCAAATTCCCTCATAATCTACAGATTTTCTTAGACCCTAAGGGGGGGAAAAACAGTATCTTCTTTTCATACCAACTTAAAAAAATTGCACATTTCACAGAAGAGGACTGGAAAAATGGGAAGTCTTAGTAAGAAACACAGTCCCAAAGGGCGCTCTAAGAGGACTATTGCTGTTAGTATCCTTTATATGTTCCTCTTCAGATTTACTTCACAGACAAGAAACTTTTCCCCAAATCTTTATAAATATTTTTTAAAAACTGATGAATCAATCTCTCTTTATATACTCTAATATAAAGTAATACTTCACAAATCATGTGTAATTTCCATATTTTTATCATATTTTATAATGGTAGCACCTGAAAATTTGAGTCATCCTTGACCCCAATGGGAATTCCCAATGAATGGGGATAATGAAACAAAATGGGGGGAAAAAAAAAAATAAAGGAAAAAACCCCAACCAAACCTAAAAACATCCATCCCTCCCCAAAGAATGGCCTCTTCTGCAGGCAATATAGTAGGAAAACATGAAAAACAAAGTATTCTCTCAGAATAAAAGATACATCTCAGAAAACAGACTTCATGGAAAAGAAAGGGTCTCACATTCCTCTTAAAACAGGGCTCAAATGATTACTAAAATATAATTAACTTAACTAGTCAAACATTAGGCAACTAGTAGCAAAAGTGACTTAACATTATTATGGAAGACACATTTCTAATTGTGAGTGAATTGTAAGGCAATGTTTAGCAATACAATATATATATTTGTCTAGTTTCAATAAACTATTTCTTTTTCTCCTTAGCCTCTCTCCTTCAAAGCCTCCTCAATGACTTAAAGTACAATCAGATATATATACACAGTACTTGTAGTTTGGTCGTAGCTGCAAAGAAAATGAACCTGAAACTCATTACTCATAAAAATCTCTCAAGTGCCTTAAGAAATCCTTAAGAGAGAGGCAGAGGACCCTCCTGCCAGCCATGGCAGCTTCTGTAGGCTCCACTTCCCTAGAAGAGGCCTGCAGAGGAGAGCATGTGGCACGCAGACAGCCCGGTAACTTCGCCTTCTAGGGGAGGAGGAAGGATTCATTCAAACTCCCCAGCAGGCACCGAGCAGCACCCGAGAGGCCGACCCGGGCAGGCAGACCCGCGGCGGGCCCGGCCGACGGCTGCTCAGGCAGCTGAGGCAACACCGGGCCTGGCGGACCCGACCACCTTGGCACCATCCTCGCCAGGCCCCATCACGCCACTTCACCTACACCCCCCCCTCCTCCCACCTGCCTGCGGGCCCCGCTCGCAGATCCTCGCACACCCCCTTTTCTCTCGGGGGCCACCCTCACCTGAGGCGCTCCCTCAGGGAAGCACCGGACGCCCCCTCCCCGGCCGCGGCCCGCCCGCCCCTCGCACACGGGCCGCGGGGCCTGGAGAGGGGGGCGTGTGTGCGCGGGGAGCCGGCGCAGGCGGCAACCGCTGCCCCACGCCCGACCCGGAGCGGCGGCCAGGCCGAGCCGGAGCAAGTCCCCTC